CGCGCAGGGTCTTTCTGCCCTGCTCCCCAGCCTCCTCCCGGGCTAGCAATACACATACCTCTTCCTTGACAGACGGAAATCCAGAACAAGTTTTTTCCTTAGTATTCTCAACTATTAAGCGGAAATAATCTCATTTCCACAGATGCTCTTCAGTACCAGTATAAAGAAAGTATGAAGAATGAGCGTGATTAAAACAAAAACAAAACTGTGGAGGTGGGTCTATCGTCCCTTGCATGTGAGGCCCTAATTCAATCTTGGCACCTCAAAAAAAAAAAGGGGGGGGGGGTGGGAGGGTTGGATTGGATGTCACAATTGCCTATCTAATCAATGCCCCTTTTAACGAGTTAAGATAATCCTAGAGATTCTCCATTGGAAAGGTTTTTGCCATTTGCATTTGGAACCTGACCAAAAATTCTTTGTCAGATCGTGTGTCCTGAGTTCTGGTTAGGAAAATGTGGTTAGCAGTGAGTTAGGAGACTGGTTTGGCCTGTTGCCAGATGGAGCAGGAAAAGGCCCTGGAGGCTGGTTTGAGAAGTGGGTAAACTCCCCACAGAGATGGGACTGAGGAGAAAGTGTGTGTTCACTTTCCATCCTGGGAAATCTCACCTGCCCAGAACTGACACCTATTTACAAGGAAATCTAACCCCAACAGTCATCCTCCCTTGCCCTGTGAGGAAAAGCAGTGGTCAGTGGTCATTAGCCGTTCCCCACAAGGCAGACCTGGAGCATCGTTCCTGACCAGAGCCTTCCATTAGAGAACTTAGTTTTAAAAGGAAAGATCTTAATGACTCAGCCTCACCAAGCCACAGAACAGAACTCAGGTTTTTTACCACGAGCAGGTGGCCTGTGAGGGGGTATTTTGGGGCAAAGCTAACTGGCCTTGCTGCGTGGGAGTTGAAAGGCCTTGAGGAGCAAGAGAGAGACCACAGATTAGAATGAAGGCCCCTGGCCGATGCTGTGGAAGCTTAACGGCTGCCTGCATTATTCTACCAGCCACCCATCAGGCAGTGGAGTGTTTTCTCTGACAGAATGGAAAGGAAGAACTTTTGCTGCATTTCCTGCTTATTTACTGACACTTCCTCTATCTGTGGTCTCAAACAGCTTATTATGCATGCTCTATCATAGCACGGACAACATACGATAAATTCCTGTTTTCATGAACGAATGAATCTTCCTCTGTCCATCTGGCTCTCAGCCTGGCCCTCAAATAAAAGTAAGTAACATAACATAAGGATAACAATAATAGCTACACTAATAGCCATTTTTAAAGCATCTACTCCAAGCTGTGGGCAAGGTGCTTTTAAATAGATTACCAAGTTTATGCTTCTAAACCCTATGAAGAAGGTATTATTAACTCATTTTAAAAATTTAAAAAGAGAATAGAGGCTTAGAGAAAGGAAATGACAGAAGCAAAGCTTGACCCAGGTCTGTCTGCCTCTGGGGTTCAAATGATCATGTTAGTCTCTGACTTCCGTCCCTCAAAGTAATCTGGAAAGTCTTCAAGTTTTCGGAGACCTTGGGCACCCGCCTCTAAGAGACCATAGAGTGACCATCATTTTGCCCTTACCCACAGGTCAGCAAGGAGGTGCCCTGGCCTCTCAAATCTAGATGTTTTCCCAGAGAAGACTATAATTCGGCTTTACTTCCTCATTGCCATAAACAGATCGGGAACCAGGCTGCAAGTGCCTTATTAAACACAAACCACCCTTGGCAGTGAGTTTCACACATAAGTACCCTGAGTTTATCCAGGGCCATTGCTGAAGCAGTTCCAAGTGCCATTAGCTTATTAATCCTCCCAGCACCCCTGTGAAGCTAAGCTGGCGGTTTTCCTGGCTCATTTTACTGAGCGTGATCTCCTTGGAGGCAGAAGCTGTGTGGGCCTGTCATACACAGCAATGCCAAAGGAGTAATGGGTATATGGCAGAAAAGCCAAGGTGCTGAGGTCAGGAGACGACAGCCTAGGTGCCTGGTTCCCATTCTGTGAGCTTGTCCTAAGGGGTGTGTGTGTGTGTGTGTGTGTGTGTGTGTGTGTGTGTGTGTGAACTTAGGACAAGCCAGAGTCATTTGGAAAGAGATAACTTCAGTAGAGAAGATGCCACCATTAGAATGGCCCATAGGCAAGTCTGCAGGACATTTTCTTGATTAATGATTGATGTGGGAGGGCCTGACCCACTATGGGTGGTGCCAACTCCTGGACAGATGGTCCTAGGGAATATAAGATAACAAGCTGAGCAAGCCAGTAAGCAGCACTCCTCCATGCCCTCTGCTTCAGTTCTTGCCTCCAGGTCCTTTCCTCCCAGGTTCCTTTTGGTCATGGTGTTTATCACAGCAATAGCAGGCAAACTAAGACCCCTTAGAACCTTATTTCAAGTTTCAGAGCCTCAGTTTTCCCTTCTATAAAATGAAAAGGTGGGGCTAAAAAGCTAGCCTTAGTAAAGTATTTGTTTCAAGCTTGAGGACCTGTGTTCAAGCCCCAGAACTCATTTAGAAACAAAAACAAAAACACAGGTGGTGATAAGCACTTGAAATCCCAGCATTGAGGAAGTAGAGACAGGTATATATCCCTGGGGCTTGATGACTAGCCTGCCTAGCCTACTAGAGAGTAACAGGCCACTGAGAAACCCGGCCTCAAAAAACGACAAGGTGAAGCCGAGTGGTAGTGGCGCAGGCCTTTAATCCCATCCATCAGGAGGCAGAGGCAGGTGGATCTCTGTGAGTTCCAGGACAGCCTCCAAAGCTACAGAGAAACCCTGTCTTGAAAAACAAAAGAACAACAACAAAAGATAAGGTGGCCAGCCAGGCACAGTGGTGCACAGTTTTAATCCCAGCATTTGGGAGGCAGAGGCAGGCAGATCTCTGAGTTTGAGACCACACTGGTCTACATAGTGAGTTCCAGGACAACCAAAGCTGCATAGTGAGACCCTGTCTTGTACCTCCCCACAAAAAAGACAAGGTGGGTGGTTCCTAAGAAACAACACCCAAGGTTGCCCTCTGGCCTTCATGCTCATCAGCACACACACACATATAAAGTGAAAAGTCATTTAGTGACATGTTATCACTAAAAAAAATTAAACAGGGTTACTAGCTGCCCGGGTTTCACTTTCCAGCAGCTCCTTTTCCCACAAAAAAAAAAAAAAAAAAAAAAAAAAAAAAAAAAAAAGATTGACACAAGTTTGAAGCCAGCCTAGGCTACATAGTTCCAGGGCAGCCTAAGCTACAGTGTGAGACCTTGTCTTACCCCTATGGTTTCAAAAAGAGCAGAGACTTCATATTATAACTCTACACACAGAGATTTTTAGCTCTCTCTCTCTCTCTCTCTCTCTCTTTTTTTTTTTTTTTTTTTGGTTTTTCGAGACGGGTTTTCTGTATGTGTGTGGGGGCTGTCCGGGAACTCGCTCTTGTAGACCAGGCTGGTCTTGAACTCACAGAGATCCTGCCTCTGCCTCCCAAGTGCTGGGACTGAAGGTGTGCACCACCACTGCCCAGTGAGATTTTAGCTCTTGAAACTTAAAATTCCTCACCGATAAAGCTTCCTCATCTATACCAGAGCATGGTCACATCTATTTCATCCTAGTTGTGGGAAACCTAGAAACTAAGGACATCATATTTGAAGTATCTGGCACAGTGGTGGTGGTCCATCCTTTTTACTTTCCTACCCCTTTTACAAACAAGCTTTGCCTTTCAATGACCTCAAGTAAAGGAAGTAACAGGGTGCGGTGGGAAATATTTGCAACCAACAAAGCTAAGGTTATTCCAGGCTCAGCCACTGTGTGACCAGGTGGAAGTTACCTATGCTGAGCCCACATTTCCCTGCCTCTGATACCAAATATAAGTTTATAAGGCACCCTAAGAGCAATTGACACCGTGCTAGGAGCTACTGATGAATGCACACTCGGACTTAAAGGAAGGGCCAAGTTGTAAGCCACAGCTAAAACTCTTCGGCCCGAAACCAAATGGGTCATGAGCTGCAAATTAAGCCAGCCAGGCTCTACAGCGCTCAGATGAACATGGGAAATTCCCGCCTAGCATTGCTCAGTTTGTCCGGACCCTGCCAGTGAAGCGGTTAAGAGAAGGCTGTGAGAATTGGCCCAACCCTCCCAAGAGTGATAACCCAAAAGGAGGAGGCAGGGGGAGGAAGGAATGTACTGATTCACCGCCCCACCCATCCCCTGACTCTAATCTCTCTTCCGGAATTTTACAGCCCTCTTTCACTGGGGTAAAGTGGAGGGGGCAGGGCACCGGTTCCAGTCCTCTCTGGAACCCGCTCTCCCTCACCCCCGCCCTGCAGGTCCTCTGGTACAGGAAGCCCGGGGGCCCGGGTGTCAGACGCACACCCTGTAGCGTTCTCGCAGCAATCTTCCCTGTGCTCTTGGGTTTAGGGGAACCAGGAGGGGAGTGGGAGGAGCTGTGGATTCTGGAAGACAGAGTTCGTGGTGTTGGTGCCATTTGGATCAGGAAAGTTTCGGCTAGAGCCCACTTTGCACCCGATGGGGGAGTCACAAGGCGAGTTTCCTTTCCCTGGGCAGTCGGCAATCCTGGTGCCCATCTTCGAGGTCAGGTGTAACTGGATTTCCTCTAGAGAAGAAAAACAGCTTTAAGAGCTGTCAGAAGAGGGGAAACCAGAAATGGGGCTCAGGTACATCTTACAGATGGAGCAACTGAGACCCAGCGAGTGCTTTATCTGCCTAAGAAGGTCCTGAGAACCAGACATAGACCCTGTGTTGGTATCTGCCCCCTTGGGTTCAATTCACAGCATTTTCTGATGCTTCTCCACTCATTTTCCCTGTTTGGCAATAGGAAAATGTCAAAGATTTATTAATAACTGAAGCTAAAACTGTTGGGATCAGCAAGTCTCCCTACACCCACAAGGGATTCAGAAATAGTAGTTTGTAGCTAACCCTTATTAAGTACTTACTGAGTGCCAAGGCCCTGTTACTTTAAAATACATTTTATATATACATTGATTTGAGGGGCAGTTGTTTATTTTGAGATAGGGTCTCACTATGTAGCTCTGGCTGTCCTGGAATTCACTATGTAGACCAGACTGGACTCGAACCTACAGAAATTTGCCTTCCTCTGCCACCCAATGAGGGTATTAAAGGATCACCACTGTGCCCCTCTTGGTTTTGTTTTTTTTCTTTTCTTTTCAAGACAAGGTTTCACTATGTAGTCCTGACAGGTCTGTAGTTCACAGAGATCCACCTGCTTTTGCCTCCTAAGTGCATAGATTAAAGGCATGTACCACCAATACACCCAGCATTACGTATGTATGCATACACACACATACTTGTATATATATTTATATTTTTTCAGGCTGCCCTTGAACTGGGAGATCCTCCTGCCTCTGCCTCCCAAGTGCTGGGATTAAAGGTGTGCACCACCACCACCCAGCTAGATATTAATTTTAATAGCCCCAGCGAGTGGGTAGTATTATCATTTTGCACTATTATTCTCATTATTTTTTAAATATTTAAAAAATATTTTTAATTTTGAGTGTGTTGGTGCTCTAGAAAACCCCTGGTTCAGATGCCCATGGAGCTGAGTTACAGGCAATTGTGAGCCTCCTGATCATGGGTGCTGGGAATTTTAACACTCAGGTCCTCTGGAAGAACCTCAAATGCTCTTAGCCAGTGAGCAAGGTCTCCAGCCCGTTATCTTATTCTTACCTTTCAAAAATGAATATTTCTTTTGTTAGGAGAGATGGGTGGGGTGCTACAGAGTGCATGGTGGAGGTCAGAAGACAACCATCAGGAGTCATTCTCACCTTCCCTGGGATCAAACTCAGGTCACAAGGCTTAGCCCCAAGTGTCATTATTACAGTGATCTTGGGGTTCCCTCCCCCCATTCTTACCTTTTGTCAACTAATACATGGTAGGAACAAGGGGATTTGAACTCCATGAGTATTTTTCCAAGGGAAGTCAAGCACAGTGTATTTTTCCACACCCCCACACCTCAACCACTGTGTGGTTAGGCTCTGGACTTCAGTTGTAAACGGATACATTCCCTTCCCTGGAGCAACCTCTTCCAGAGTACTTGGAGATTATCGGTGCTCCTGTAAATCTTTAATATGTGCTCCCCGTCCGGATCATGTTCTTGTTCTTACACCCTGAGACCTCAAAGCGCCAGGTTAAGCAAGGTAACCAAGGTCAGCCTTGGAAACTGAGAAGAGCCTTCCCCCCGGTGCTCAGCTTTAGTCTCCAGCACCCATTGCTA